AAGTCAGTGCAAAAATTGAACTTCTAGGAAATGTGTCCACAGATTGAGATACTTCTGTAAACAGCATTTCTTCCATTTATTTAAAAAATAAAACAAACCCACGCATGTAGAGTCAACTAATATTTGACAAGGGAGCCTAGAATACTCAGTGGGGAAAGGGTAGTCTCTTCAGTAAACAGTGGTAGGAAAATGATATTCACATGTGAAAGGATGAAACTGGGCCCCTAACTTAAACCACTCAAAAAGGTAACTAGAAATAGGCTAAAGACTTCAGTGTAAGACCCGAAACTGTAAAACCTCTAGATGAGAACAGGAAAAAGAAATCCTTGACCTTGGTTTTGGCAACAATTTTTTTAACATAGCATGAGAAACACAGCCATGAAAGCAAAAATAAACGAGTGGGGCTACAGCAAACTAAAAAGCTTCCACACAGCAAAAGAAACAATCAACAAGATGAAAAGGCAGCTTACAGAATGGGAGAAAATACTTGTAAACCATGTATCAGGTAGGGCATGACTATCCAACATATGTGAGGAACTCATACAACTCAACAGCAAAAAACAAGTAATCGGATTGAAAATGGGCAAAAGATCTGAACAGACATTGTCCCAAAGAAGACATACAACCTGCCAACAAGCACATGAGGAGATGCTCGGCGTCACCAACTGTCAGGGAGATGCAGATGGGAACCACACGTGGTATCACCTCGCACCTCTCAGGGTGGCTCTTATCAAAATAGATGTGATAACGAGTGTTGGTGATGTGTGGAGAAAAGGAAGCCTCATGCATTGGTAGAGGCACTGCGGAACACAGTAGGACAACTCAAAAACTATTCAAAAAGTTAAAAATAGAGCCCTCACATGACTCAGCCAGGCCGCTTCTGGGATGAAGTGAAAACAGAATATTGAAGAGGTATCTGAGCTCCGTGTTCAGAGCAGTATTATTCACAGACGCCCAGGTGTGGAAGCAACCTAAGTGTCTATCGACAGACAAATGTGTGAAGAAATGTAGTATATACATACACAGGAATGCTCTTCAGCCAGAGAAAGAGGGAAATCCTGCCATTTGTGACAAAACAGATGAATCTGGAAGGCAGTATACTAAGTGAAATAAATCATACAGAAAGACAACTACTGTATGATGTCACTTATATGTGGAATCTAAAAAGCTGAACTCAAAGAAACAAAGAGTGTTGCCAGGGGCTGGAGGAAGGTTTGGTCAAATGGGCAAGCTTCCAGTTATAAAATGAATCAGTTTTGGGGATCTAATGTACAGCATGGTGTCTATTATTAACAATCCTGTATTACATACTTGAAGGTTGCTGAGAGGGTCAATCATTTTTTTTTTTTTTTTTAATATGTCTTTATTCACTTCAGAGAGAGAAAGGGAAAGGGAGAGGGAGAGAGAGAAACATCAATGATGATTCATTGATCGGCTGCCTCCTGCACCCCCCCCCCCCC